CTGCACATATTCTTACTGAAGACAATGAGATTATGAAAGGGATTAACTTTTTGTTAGACTGGCCAAAGTATGCTTTCGGAAAGTCCAAATCATGAACTAATTTGTAGTGGTTGAAATCTTGTGGGAAAGATTGTAAGAGGATAATTATTTTAAAAGCCATGACTTTGACACCAGGAAATTAAATTCATATCTATATGTCTTTATCTATACACAGAAAATCCAATAATCTTGAGCTTTCTGCAGTCACTTAGCCAGCTGGCAAAGGGAGCAAAGTAAGAACTAACAAACCCCATTCCTTAAGGTATGCTGACATCAGTGATTCATGATTCATCAATAAATGGTGCTAGGAGATAAATGTAATAGGGCATTATTGCCTTTTGCAGCACAGTAAACTCAAGGGAAAATGTCTAAGTGTATCCCATTGAAAAGACAGCTAGCAAAGAAATAACTTTTACAAGTATTTAAGAGGTGTTACAAGCAAGCGAAAGTAGAGAAACAAATGTAAACCTTTTAAATACAGGGAAAATGTACTTATAAATAAAAAGAGGCAGTTTCTCAGCTCTACAAGCTGAAGAGGACTAACCTGAAAAATAGTATTCTTTGTTGTTCAACATTTTTACAAGGGGAGAGAATTTGAATTGCTTGTTACAGAATAAACCCTTAAAACAACCACTGTTCTGGTTTAATTGTCTACCAGGATAAGCACAATGAATTGGTTCTATGAAAAATTATTCATGTTTTTTGACAGTAATTATGACTCTCATAACTTATCTAAATAACGAAAAGGGCAAATATGTAAACACAACGTACCATATATACTCTTTAGAAAATGCCTTTATTAGCACATAATTGATGATCTCCTTCGAAGGTGACTGGACTATCATTGTAAAAGCCTAAGATTATTCACTGAAGAAAAATGGGTAGCTATCTCTACAACAGCAGAGACACCTGCCACTTTTGCCACATAGAACAGCAAGATCAAATACATTATTGAACAAGAGAAGCTTTGCTTTACATTTTTGAAGCTTTAAACTTTTTACGATAGGGTTTAGCCTATACTTCTAATCCTTTTTAGAGTCTACCCAATTAAAATGCAGGTTATTTGTTCGCGCTATTAGAGGACTACTGTGCAATATTAATAATGCACCATGTAATATGCTGTCCTAGAGATACATTGTCTCTCTTGCAGGGGCAACAGCCACATAGTTTTGATACAAGTTTTGCTGCCTAGCTGGAGGGTAAGTGACTTTGGTAGCTGTTGAGGTATTTTTACCAGAGAAAACATTGATCTCCTGACATGAGGCTGACTTTAAACCATTGCCACTTAACTGCAAAGCACCACAAATACATTTAGTAGCTGGTTTGCCTGGACTGACATTGGAAATTTTATTTAAAGACTGAGTTTCCAAACACTTAGTATAATTCATAATAAACAATTAATTGATTCACAAAATTTGTCAATGTATATTTCACTGTACTGAATTTTCTTTAAATGACCAATAGATGTTTTTATGAATTTGGAATGTAGATTTCCCTAAGAAAAAACCAGCAAAAGAGAAAGTGAGAAAAAGATACTGTATGAGAAAAAAAGAACATGGAAGGTAAGATAAATCCATCCATACTCAAATGGATTTAATAATGCCACAATGGCTACATATATAATGGATGGATTTAAGAACATCAGTGATGTCAGTGAAGAAAAACAGATAACTTTACTGTAAATTTAATTGATGATTCACAATCACAACTTTCCAGAAAAGTACAGACAAAGTAGTGGATACCAGATCATGGTAGATCTGTAAATACTGGTTTGATTTGTTCCAGGTAGTATTGCTAAAAATTGAGTTGGTTTTCTTCTTTCTCTGCATTATTCACAAGTGTAGGCCCTTGACTCTGCAAACATAATGTGCACTTAATGTTCAAATAACCAGCTTACTCATGGCAGTAAAACTGAATTAGTGCAAATACAATACTGGTGTGGTGAAGGCCATTTCTTCTTATTCTCATTTGACCAGCTCAATAGACAAATAATGATTGACCTATATTTAGGCCAAGGTTAGCATTAAATTCAAGAAATACATTTAATGACTAAATGACAAGTGATACAAAAGAGAGGCTGAGAAAACAGTGTTTGTTCAGGCTTAAGAAGAGAAGACATAGGGGAAATAATATTGCTGTCTACAGCTACCTAATGGGGGTTCATGAAGGTTTACAGAGGAGATGAAGCTAAACGATTATTAGAAATGTACAGTGGTAAGTGCACATGAGAGGTAAAACTTACAAGCTGCAATGAGAGAAACTGCAACTAGGTATCAGAAAAAAAGATTCAAAATTATGGTAGTCAGATGCTGGAATGGGGGCCCAGGGAGGTATGCAATCTTCATCCCTGGAGGTACTCAAAACTCGGTTGGACAAGGCCCTGAGCAACCTTCTCTAAGTTGGACCTGCTCTGAGCGGGAAGCTGGAGCAGATGACCTCCAGAGGTCTCTTCCAAACTAAATCATTCTATGCTTTTTGTGATTCCTTATTGTTTATGATTTCAGACAGCTATATTTCTCTTTAAGCATTCCCAGATTATAAAAGAATAGGCAGCTTTCTTAGGAAACAGGTCTTTGGACCCTAAATTTTCCAAAAACAAGCACACATGTACACCACAGCAAATGAGCTATAATAATCCAAACTAAAGGTGAGCCGCTTACCTGTGCTCATTCCAAACCTAAGTGTCTGTGTTATAGCTAAATTTCCCAAGATGCAGGAAACACAAAAACTGACCAAACTGATGGTTAATATTCATAACTACTTCTCAGGACACTGAAAACTGACAAGATTCATATGAATTTTAGTCTGCCTGCAGCTAGGCATAGCTATACCTAATAGTGGAAATAAGAGAGCTGTTCATAGTGGAAGACAACTCAGAAGTGAAGGCAGGGAAAATATCCTTTTCTTTGTTTCCTCTGTAGGATTTCTGGCATATTTCCTTACAAGCAGCTGTAATGGAAAAATTAACACTGGCTTTGCATGTGTTCATGTCTGTGGCACACACACCTCCTCAGTCTTCTAAACTAGTCCAGGAGCTGCCAGCTGCTGGGAAGAGCAGCCTGGTGCTGTGTGTGTGTGGATGAGATGTGAGGGCTGTAAAGTAGCAGCCATGCCAACTCCAAGCTTCAGAAGTCCTGAGTCACAAGGGAAATTTCTGAAGCTAAATCAGAGAAGATACATCAGCATCTCTCATGGAAAATGAAAGGACCAAAATTGAAGCTGGAAAACAGGTCATATTCAGCTGGGTTGCATGGCATGCTACATTAATACTGGGTTGAGAGAAAGATGTAGAATTTCTCAGAAACTGCTGAAGTTTTTGGCTTTCAGAAGACGTTCATGTAAGATGTTGTGACATAAAGTTTAATCCTTGAGCAAATGGGTTAAATGAGTAAGTTTATCAAGCAAGCACATAACAGAAATGCATACAGGTAAAATCTGTTTACCGTAACAGAATGTTATGCCATTTCCTGTATATCCTTGGGAGCAATAGCATCCTGTTGTCCCACCCTGAACTTCACACCTGGCGTCTTTGTGGCATGTCATATTGCAGCTTGCAGAAGTGCAGCCATAGTCCAGCAGACTGGAAATCAGAACTGGAACAAAGAAAAATCAGACTGGTTTCTTTATCTAAAATCTTAATGCCAAGCTCTAAAACCAGATCTGGCAAAATGTATCCATAAAATTGATATACTCCAATAAACGCAACATCATCAGCTGTATCACAGAATGGATAAGGGCCACCAACTACAGGGATTTCTTTTGTAAAACTACCCAGGGACTAGAAACAGCAGACACCGTGGATTAAGAACTTGTGTATGTACTCAAACAGTATAAAACTGGTAAAAAATGTAGAAGTTACTCAGTGATCTGGGGAAAACATTTGAAAGGCTTTCAGATCTCTCCAGTACTTTCCAGAAAACCATAGACATTTATTTGCACTCTGAATTATGTAGTGAGTGTAATCCAAACTGCCCTACAGATATCAAGTGAAAAATGCCAAAGAGGATTCTCCTGATCAGATTTTTTATTTTTATAAGCACTTCCATACTTGTGTAGCTAACACATGCATAGAGAGATTAAAGTGACATGTAACAGTATTTACTGCATTATGGCATTAGGGTTTAAAAACTTCTCCAAATTATTTGAAGTTAATATCTTAAAATACTATTTCCATGCTTTGGAAGCACTGTCTTCTTTTTTCTACCCACTGAATGGTTCCTAAATGGTATAACTATGTTCCCATTGTATGACTGCATATGGTTTTAAGCACTAAGAAAAAAAGAGTCTCTCCCTTTGAGAAAACTAACAGCTCACTGAATAATTATACACACCCTGTAGAAGGTTAGAAACGAGGCAGTTAACTCAGAAGGGAAAGTAAGTTTTTTTTACTTCGTACTTTATAAATTGTTAGCAGGACATAACAAAAGTTGCAGAACAGGAAGACCCTTTTGGATGCTCTTTCCCAGCAGTTCTTTTCTCTACCCAAATATTATTCTGGATATTTGCTAGCCTAGTGTTACAATAAAAGGTTTCATTGCTTCAGGAAATCTCACAGATGCATTTTCATTAACAAATTAAAATTTAATGAAAAATTCAAAATACTAAAAATTACACATATTGTTTTAACAATTATATATAAACCAAGTCAATTTAGGTATCACTAAGTTTCATCTTTTCCCTCTGTTTTTGAGAGAGAAGACCATCTTCCAGAGATTAAAACAGAAACATGTGGGATTCTGTTGTCATTTTACTGTTCATAATATGTAAAATCTAAAAATCTCCCAAGCAGACAGAAAGCTGACAAAAAAAACCCCCACAAACCAACAAACCAAAACAAACCCATGGAAATCCATAAGGTTTCTGTTTTTTACAGAACAAAACCCACAGTGAGATAAAGACTGGCATTTGTGGGATTTGTTTTTGGGATGATCCTAACCATGCAATTACTGAATCCAGTAGCAGCACCGATCAAAGCTATGGGGACTTTCAGTCCCGTGTATCCAGCAGCTTTCCACCACCTCCAGCACACTCATTCCTTTCCAGCCACAGCATCACTGTCCCCATCAGTCTCCTTGCCAGACCCCACTCCCTTCCCACCTGCCTCTTGCTCCCCGGGGAAGATTTCACCTACCTAGGAATGGAAGCAGTTTCATTGGTGATGATGTTGCTGTGCGGTGCCTGGTGCAGAGCCCCTGTGTCACAGAAAAAAACTCCCTGCCTTAAAACGTATGACCATGTGCAAAATACGCACACATGCCTATCAGGAAAGTGAGGTCCTGGTGCAGGCTCTGCCCTTTGTCCTGAGCTTCACGCTTCCAAAAGCTCCTGAGACTCACAGGCAGGACAGGGAGGGTCAGAAATGAGAAAGTAAAAATGAAGCAGGAGCCTGGGTCTTGCAGGAGATACCAGAGAATATTCAGGGGTGAGTGGGTTAAAAGAGCATGGGTTAAAGGTGCTGCTTGGGAGAGTGCCTGGGGCAGGGGGAGGATGCAGATGGAAGGGGTGGGCAGCAGACTGCTGGCAGAAAGTGTAAAGGAGCAGCAGAAGAATGGTGGAGTAGACAGGGAGGATGAGGAAGAGGTGGAGGCGATTAGTAACTAGCTCAGGGTTTATGAGCTCGGAGGTAACCGTCTACATGCTTTCTTCCACCTTTTCCTGGTGAGCTGAGTGTATGTGAGCCCCAAGACCCATTTTTTTGGAGACAAATCTTGGCTGACTGCAATCGTTCTTTCTGTTGCCTTCTTCAGTTTTGAGACAGATCCTTACTGCAGCCAAGCAATGTTGCTTTAAGGGTAATGGCCTGTGACGAGGTACAGGAAATTCACTGAACTGTGCTTTGTGAGGGAAACAAAGATGTATAAGCAGGGAGGAAAGACGCAGGAAGACAATTGTATGGCTGGGAATCTCGGGAGCTGAAGGAGCCAAGCTTTCTATGGGTTTATGGGACTGAAAGAGGGTGTTATGTAATAGAACATATTCAATATAGCCAATTTAGTAAAGCATTTGGCATGTCTTTGTGTTAAATGTGAGAGCAGTTCTATCCTCATTATAACATCTTAATTGATGAGACTTCAGTGTGTACTTATATTAGGCATGGACATGGCAATATTTTCTCTAATCTTGTTATGGATGATGTGCATCCCATCATTTCCCAGTTTCCTGGAGATGATGATTCGCATATTGAAGCACTGTAAAAATGAAGCATTGATGTATGCCTATCTTCATAGATGGAAGCAGAGGGACACGCACAAAAGGTATGCTGCTGGAAGCACGGAGAATATCTCTAAACTAAATAAGACAGACATAGGACTGTGGAATGTCATTGTGACAAAATCTCATGTCTGACTAGGAAATTTTGAAGTTGAGACTTTGGTAGGGAACCAATGGGAAGATATCAGCCTGCTCTTAGCAGTTATCTGTGGAAGTAGCAACATTTTTTCTAAACTTGTTAGGAATTATTTGCTCACCATCATTTTCCAGCTTCATGATTGCTGCTGGCAGGAGTTCAATGGGTTAAATTCTACTCCAGCCAGGGAGGTGTGAGGCATGTAGAAATAGCACGTAGGTGTCTGGTTGGCACTAAGTACTTCTGCAGCACCTCGGCAAAGAGAGAGGAAGCTCCAGCAACCGGATGTTAATTTTCGATGAACTGCAGAATAATGAACAAAGGGTCCAGGTGTAGGAAGATTGTTTTTCTCGTGTTTGATTTTGTGAGGGGGTAGGACTTAAAGGGGAAGAGAGGAAGGGACTAGGAGTTAGTTTGTTTTGTTAAGTTTTCCCGTAATCTAATACATGGAGACACAGAGGAACAGAAAGTCAGATGAACTGAGGGGAGCTTTGATCTGCATGTCCTGTCCTTCATGCTGACATGTGCTATATTGTTTGCCTGGCTTGCCTGAACTAACTTACAGATCCTGCTGCTGAATTTCAGCAAACTAATAAGGGCTCTGTTTGCAAAACCTATAATGTTGGAATTATATCTTATTGCTCTGTGTCTTTTTACTCCCTCAAATCAAGCTAAGAGATATTTATTAGTAAGCAAGTGGACAGAGCAAGAAGTTATAACCTAAAACTCAGGTCTTTAGAGCTGGAAACATATTTTTGAAAAGTCAGAGATGTACATTCTAATTTCATCTAGACAAGAGCTTTCTGCAAGAGGTGTTCAGATAGGCTGGTTGGAGAGCAATTTAATGAATCATAGTGATAGTAAATTCATAGTAAAAACTTCAATTCCTTTTTTCATTCAAAGCCTAAGGGTGCAGGAGAAATTGTGGATGACTTGGAAAAAATATCACTATAAGAAGACAAATGCCTCCTTTCCTCTTTGCTAGAAAAGCACATGATAACTTGCTTTTTAGTACTCAATGGTTCAAACTTATCAAAGGGACTATGCCAACCACATCAGGATACTTTCCATCTGGAATAGTATTGCTGACCTACTTACTGCACTCACAGGTACAGTGGACAACACCAAAGGCAGTGTATAGGTCTAACTGGCAATTGGTTTACATTGTGACCAGCAGTGGGTGATGGGGGAGCACATAAAGAAGAAAGATGTGGAAGAACACAGCAAGGACAGAAGGAAGCTTAGGTCAAGAGGAACTCTGGGTGATAAAAGGAGCTTCAATCAGATTTAGAAGGCAATAGGGAGACAGTGAAGAAGAGGGATTTAGGAATATCTTAATGAGATCTCAATACTGGGAGCACTGGATTACTTTTGCATTAGACTACTTAAAAATTGGCTAATGTGAGTGTCAGTTAGAGGCTGAAGACAGCAAGGTCGCAGTAGGCATGGATGCGGAGAAGGATGGACTTGACAAAGATTGTATGGGAAGAATGAAGAGGATAGGGGAGATTTCTTAGACATTTTGGCGATTAAACCAGGAGGATTTACTGATAATATCTATTGGCATATAAGGATAAAAAGTTAAACAAGTGGAGATGAGCAGGTGAACACATGAGAAAGCAGAAACTTTCAAATTTGTGCTTTAAAAATTTAAAAAATATGCTGAGAAAAAAAATATTGAGGTGTCATAAAACTGAATTATTGATTGGTGCCTCTCTTTATAGGCAGGGAGGAGAGACATGCACAAACATGAATATTCCTGGAAGACTGGACAATATGTCTGAACTAAATAAAAAGAGTACAAGAATGTAGAATTTCAGTACTGCAGAATCCATCTCTGTTTGTCTCAAAATAAAGAAGCATTAAAAACAAATGGTTTGTGGAAACACTCCAAAAGACAGCCTTGCCATCCTTACACATGAGAAGCAAAGCCCCAGTTCTATACTTCTGTTGTTTATTTTATAAATGGGCTAATTTATCTTTGCAAGGCTGACTTAGGAAGGCATAAGTAAATGAATATACACAGGTTAACATGTTTGACTTAAAACCACACATTTTTGATTACTAACTACTGTGATTACAATATCTTATATGTGACTGTAGAATTCTCAAGTTGTTTTTTTTGCTGGTGAACTGATAGGAAGACATCAACCTGCTCTCAGAAATTACTGGATATTTTCCAAGCTTTGCATTGTGAAGAAATGTATTTATTCATAGTTGTTTTAAAGGTAATTGGGATGCTGATTGTGCAGACAACGCTATGAAACTAACACCCTGGCTGATGAGGGAGAGAAGATAATACTTCCTAGAGCTCAGTCTTAGGTAGCTTTCAAAAGATAAATATAGATAAATATTCAGAAACTGCTTTCATTCTGCCTATGGTACCAACAAAGGAGCAAAAACTGAATCGAGCTAGTATTAACCTAGTATAAGCATGATCTACTGTATTAAAGATATTTATTCCTTTAACATGACCAAATTTGGACTGCTAGCTAGATATATACCAAAGAGTCTCACCACATTTGCAGTTCTATATTATAGTGTGGAAAAACAAGTGTAGTATATCAGGATATATATTTCTTTTTTCAAATTACCAGTTAATTATGCCAGTAGACACTTAGTAAGAGCCAAAAGATGTCATCTGATGGGCATCTTATGAATGTATCTGACTTAGGTTGTGGACCCCGCTTTCAGACCACTGTGGATCATCCTGAGAGGGGATGGTGGGAGTGTGTATCAGAGTGAGAGATCCTAAATGCTCTAGGTAGGGTTCATACATCTTCAGCCTCCTTGCTGTTGAATTCCACATATATTCAGCACCCTCAGACTCCAGTATCTGACCCACCAGCAGTGTGATCCACCCACTCTGTATGTGCAGAACAGCCACATGCATGTGCATGCACACACTCACATATTTATCACATAAGTGCACATATGTATCTGGTACTGAATTGGGCTGATAAATATTTAATGTCAATAATAAAAAGATGGTCATAATCTTTCCTTTCATCCTTTGCTTTTTTTGACAAATGACTGTTCACTTGAATCACCAAGTTTGCTGCCAAAAGGAAAATGGGATGTAAAACAGACTGAGGATGCACAAATGCCTTGGACAGAGCTTTTTCTATGACGCTTGCTGTTTTTTTAAAAAATATCAAATTAATTGGTTTCAAACCAAATCCTATCACTTCAAGAATGTAGATAGTGTTTATACTACTTCAGAAATGTTTCACTTATCCTAGTCACTAGAGCAATTATATTTTTTTCCCTAGTCAATAAAATCTGGATACAATTGAAAATGTACTTAAATGTCAGATCAAAATAATGAATTTCTATGGTTGGTTAAAATTATTTGCAAATAAAAAATCCAGGGAAAACATTTTTCAAACACAGACTAGTCAATCATAGAGTAGCCTACCTCAGAGGACTCTAGCTAAAAAGTAGTGTTAGCATCTGCTTTATAACTGCCTCACCTCACCTTCCTGTCTGAGTGCCTCATGAATCCTTATTGTTTTATGTGCAAACATCATATTCCATCTGAGCATACAGGGCTGAATATATCTCTTGGGATGATGTAACTCTAGGCAATTTTGAAGCAATAAACACACAAACACACATAAACATATGCATGCACACATCCTACTAAATCTGTGTAGCTATGTCCATCTGAAAGAAATTGCACATTTAATTGTTCAGAGCCAGTTTCTTTCTGCTCTTTTCTTTACCTAGGATGAAGTAATGAAATGAGGGAATTTAAAGTGAATGCAATGTTTCTGAAAGCCAGATTAACTGCCTTGAAATTGAGCTCTGTTTCTGCATCTGCTATAATACAGAAGAGACGCACAGACTGAGTATAAAGATCCTCACAGCTAAAAGGGATAAAGTAATTCAGTTTCCATGTCTGTTTATGTTCTCCTAGGACTGCTCATGCTATGGTAGTGCTAAGGATAGTCACACCTCTGCAGGAGGAATAAAGCAAACTCCGTGAATTATTACACCAACAAAATGCCAGATTACCAGTTGCATTTAACCTACAATCATTTTATACCAGAGCTTTAGAGGTGAAGGACTTTTACATTGCAGTGCTAGTACGTTAACCACTAGATAACCAGACTAGCTCCTAGAAGACCACAAGTACCTCTTCTTTGTTTTACTTACATGGGAGAAGAGTTCTGACGCTTGCTCATTAATCATACAGTCTTAGACTTGAAGTAGTGGCAGACACTGTCCTACCCTGTCCATGTGTTTACCCTCACAACACTGCAGTCAATATTCCAGCAGGCCAATATCCCACAAAGCCATCCTGGATCTTTTCTCCTCAGGTAATAGGCTGAAAAATGGTTAA